TACCCATTAATAATGATTGAAATGCAATAATATCACTGCACTAAAAAGACTTCAAACTATTATTTGTTTCTCTCCATGAAGGAATGAGCAGACCAATCTTTATCGCAACTGGCTTTCTTAATTATTACATGTACTTGCTCTGAAAACATAGCTTTTACAATTGTTTAAATTAACAGATGTTGTTCTATGTACAATGAATACATTTTAAATAATAAACCTTACTGTGTTAATAACAAATTGTATTTGACAACATGAGAATGATTCTGATGCCCAGTGGTGATGTTGAAACAAACCCTGGTCTTGGTGATTAACAAAGAAGTCATGTACCGGTACATCAAGGTTCACTCAGATTTATGAATGCAGTTTCTTGAGCAAGTATACATGTATGACAAATAGTTTTGTTGCACTTGTGTACTCTGAGATTCTGAACATGGGTCAGTGGAAGTTTTTAGTTGTCAATACAAAACTAGATCATCGGAAATCACTTTATGATGAGTTGTAACCACAAAGAGTACATATTTATTCACCTGTTTGCAGATGTTCCTTGTACAACTTTATAATCAAATAACGGGGACTGTGACATTTCATGTCTTGTTTCATTAATATTGCTGAAGAGGAAATTCAGATACTGTACTCGACCGCGTTAGCGCCCAGGGGCCTCAACTCGGAAAATCATGATTTTGTAGGGGTGGGCGCTTACCCGAGCAACCCCCTTGAAAAAGAGTGCAAATGAAAATTTTGATTCATCAAGTGACAGATTACGTCTTTGAGGGAAAATCAAATTACTAAATTAGTTGCGTCGTCATTGATTTTTACAATGAAGAAACAGAAATGATCACAAAAACTACGCACATTTTATTACAATATTAATTACGTACCACAATAATTTACAGAATTAAAAACATTTGAGTCTGTTGGAACACAGTCGAAGTCAAAATTGTCATATTATTTCCACTGACGAAGTTGTTGGATCGTACGCAAACTGTCGATGAAAATCACTTTCGGCCATGATGCAATTGCAGATTTGACCTACAGCAGCGTCCTTTGACCTAATGGGTCAAGTTGGTTATTGACTAATCAGAATGCTGTGTTGTACTGATGCAATTCTTTGGAAATTCTCAAAGACTTTCCGGTAACGCAATGTGGAAGTGAATTATCGATGTCGAAGTACGATCTGTTGGAATTGATTTCAGCGAATAAACGACATGGTTTTTCAAAAAAACTAGTAACTAGCCATTTTTGGGGGGTAAACTGAATATGGCATAAATATTTATCGCATTTTACTTGTATTAACAGGTCATTGTCGAAGCGTAGTTTACGCACGGTTACCGTGTTCTACGCATTCACAACATGTTCACAGCGATCAATATCCACGCTGTATCATATAAAAACGATTACCAAGATTGTTACGCAAGACCAAGTTTTAAATTAGTTGCATTTTGAAGGGGTGGGCGCTTTGCCGAATGTGACCCCAAATATAAAAATTGCGCAAAAGTGGGGGATGGGCGCTTGCCCGGGCATGGGCGCTAACGCGGTCAAGTACGGTAATATCAAAAGTATCAAAACGTGATTCAAGATCTTGCATATTATGTCATATATACCATATATCATTAATTTCCCTAACTAGGTTGCTATGACACCCAGAGGAGGTATCTTTGAAGACAGTGATGGAATCAAGCATCAGGATGAATTTGACATTAGTATAATCATATCATTAGACAAAGATCAAAACACCCAGCCACCTCAAAGTGAACAACAAATAATCTCACAAGTTAACACTTCGTCAGCTTACCAATCAGAGGCAGAGAAAAAAAAGAACATGGTGTTGAAATACTATGTCATCTTGACCAGTCGGAGAGATTTGTTCCCAAAGTTGACTCTTACAAAGCAGCTTGGAAAGCTACGTAGTATGGACATCCCACCAAAGGAGACTACGCACGGACATTTGTTGATTTTGACGCAAGCCAGAACCGTGAGGGATAAAATTAATATTATTGTTAACCAAGTGGAGATGCATTGCCGAAGAGATATGTTATGGGAACGACTGTTAATACAAGATGCTGTTGATGAGGATCCTAAACGAAAAAAGAAAAAGGGACTGGAAAGTAAAGAAGCTGCTAAGGTAATCCTTTAACTTTTACCACTGTTGGTTCTTCCCAACAAAAACTTGATGTGTAATTGACACAGCTTTCATTGTTTCTCTAAAAAAAATAGACAGCATTTTGTTCTTTTCTACATATTATTTGCATGTTACATAACCTTTGTTTTCGATATTTTGTTATTATCAACTGTAATGATTTCATCTGACTTTTCAGAAAAAAATTCTTGTTGGATTATTTGGAATTGATTATGATAGTAATGTATGACTGGAAGGGGTGAAGTCTGTCTTGCAAGTCTGTCTACGTTGTCAGGTTGCGTCATTGCATCATTTGCTTTATAGGTTTATTAGTTCCCATTCAGGCGAATAAGATTACACCTTGGCATGAGTAGATGTGCTTTTGGCAATGATGACCATACCCTCCCAAAAATATGCAAATTAGAACAATACAGTTATTTGCTCTTATTCCAGCAACCATTGGGCCAATTTAGTTCATATTTGTTAGGATTACACCTTGACATGAGTAGATGTGCTTCTGACAGTAATGACCACGCTCTCCCAAAAATATGCAAATTAGAACAATGTAGTTATTTGCTCTTGATCCCAGGAAGCCCAGGAACTATAATCAACTGTACGCAGTCCATATGAGCGGTGGGTATCGGCTGGTACGTAGCGTGAGAAATAGACATAGAACAAAAATAAGCAAATTAGATCAATGCAGTTATTTGCTCTCATCCCAGCAACCATTGGGCCAATTAGTTCATATTTGGTAGGATTACACCTTGACACAAGTAGATGTGCTTCTGACAGTAATGACCACGCTCTCCCGAAAATATGCAAATTAGATCAATGCAGTTATTTGCTGCTATCTCTACCACCACCGTGTCGATTTTATTCATATTTGGTATGATAACACCTTGGCACGAGTAGATGTGCTTTTGGCAATAATGACCACACCCTCCCAAAAATATGCAAATTGGATCAATGTAGTTATTTGCTCTATCCCAGCAACCATTGGGCCAATTTAGCTCATATGTGGTAGGATCACACCTTGAAATGTGTAGATGTGCTTTTGGCAATAATGACCATGCTCCTCAAATTACATGTACTTGCTCTGAAAACATAGCTTCTACAATTGTTTAAATTAACAGATGTTGTTCTATGTACAATGAATACATTTTAAATAATAAACCTTACTGTGTTAATAACAAATTGTATTTGACAACATGAGAATGATTCTGATGCCCAGTGGTGA